CCAGGACTTTTTTCTTTAAACTGGGGTCACATAAATGTATTGAGCATGTGAGGGGGAAGACAAGGCCATTGATGTGACCTGAAGTTTCAGTGCTCTAGCTAGGTATGTTCACAGTGCTCTTGTGGCTGTGAAAGTTCAGGGATCATTCAAAACTCCACACAGATCAGCCATGTGATTCATCACCTTAATTAGTGTCTCTAGTACTGTGTGTTTTACATAAGAAAGTGACAAACATATTCTATATGCTCAGCCAGTGATAAAATATTATTTGGTCCCTATAACAAAGACAAAGGTTCATTCACAAACCAATTTCACCTATTTTATATGCCCTAACTTGGGTATATTAAAACACTACCTGAGGCCCCAGAGACAGTGCAGCAGCATGGCATTTGCCTTGCATGCAGTCAACCCATGTTCAATTCTAGGTACCACAAATGGCCCCCAGAACCCACCAGGAGTGATCCTTGAGTATAGAGCTAGGAGTAAAACCTTAGCACAGATGTCGTCCAAAAAAATAACAAAAGACTAATTACCTCAGTCTCTCTTAAAATTGAGACCATATTATATATTCTTTCCAAGAGAATATGGGTAGAAGTTTTATAGGCTATTCCCATACTTGAGTATTAAAACTTCTTTAGAAATACTCTACCTGCTCTCCATTTGCTTTGGGATTAGGGACTAAGCATACCACTCTGGGGAAAGAAACTGATCCCTGAGTTTTCACTTACAGGAAAGTTTCTTTAGATAAGCACTCAACCCTTTGAAATGGTTATGAGCAAATTTTAAAACTTTGCATTGCATTAAAGATTATTTTTAATTTATTTATATTTGTTTTGGGGCCATACCTGGCAGTGCTCAGAATTTACTCTTGGCTCTACACTCAGGAATCAGTCTTGGCGAGCTTGGGGAGCCATATGGAGTGGCAGGCATCAAACTAAAGTTGGTTATTTATTTATATGACAAATAAATGCCCTGCTTTCTGTACTATCTCTAAGATATCCCCCCGCCCCAACCCTTTTCTAATTGCTGATGAACAACTAAAACCTACTTCCACTTCAAACTTAAGCAGACAATTTTTATTTTGAAGATTGATCGACTCTTCTTTGTTTTGTTTTTTCCTAATAATTCTTTTCCAATTTTATCGAGGAAGAGTTGCTAGTTGGAATTGAGGCAAACAACATATTTCTACAAAGAACAAAAGGAAAGGGAGAAGTTCTAAATATTTGTGCACAGCCTCTCTGCTCAAGAGTGAAGGTGTCAGTGCCCACAATTCCTGCTCTTGGTCATGTTGGTGATTGATGTTTGTTTTCCTATACAGTAGTTCCAGGAGAATTATGATCACTCTATCATAATCACTCAAAACAACTTCATCTCCTTCAATGATGTCAGTGCGTCCTTGAGGGAAAATTTCCAGTTTCTGCATGTCAGGCTCAAGTGTCCCTCAGGCCCGTCAGGAAGGTCAAGACTTTGTGGGAATTTGCTAATAAATACATTTAATTCAGCAGTTTTTTTCTAGTTATGCTTGTTCTTTAATCCCTTTTATGTTCTCTGCCCAAAACTGAACTGCCTCTACTGATGATAGGAAGGAGCATGGGGGATAGCACAAACTCACATACATACAATTTTGAGTATAATTTCAAGAAATCCACATGCCTTCTGAGTTGACCTAAGACCCTCAAGTTAAGAAATCAAGCCTGAAAGGGAGCACTGAGAGACAGCACAGGGGCTAAAGCATTTGCCTGGCACATTGCTAACACTAGTTTAATCCCTGTCACCACACATAGTCCCCTGAGTCTTTCTAGGAGTAATTCCTGAGCACAGAGCTGGAATTAAGTCCTAAGCACTGCTAGGTGTGCCTCCCTCCCCCATAAATAAATCAAACCTGATAGCATTACTGAGTGATTTATTCCTTTTGCCCAGACTATAATGAGCACTGACTCTGGTCAAATAGTATTAGTCATAGTCAGATGGGCTGGGGCGATAGCACAGCAGGTAGGGCATTTGCCTTGCATACAGCCTGCCCGGGTTAGATTCCTTTGCCCCTCTCAGAGAGCCCAGCTAACTACTGAGAGTATCTCACCCGCAAGGCAAAGCCTGACAAGCTACCCATGACGTATTCAATATGCCAAACATAGTAACAACAAGTATCACAATGTTACTGGACCCACTGGAGCAAATTGATGAACAATGGGAGGACAGTGGACAGTGCTACAGTGCATAGTCAGATAGGAATGAAGCACAGTCACCTCTTTACAAAGACACACTAGCCAGAGGGGAAATAGACATGTTTCAGAGCAATTTTTTAGATGCAATCATTAGTAAAAGCGCTAATTGTGAAAGGAGATTGATTGAAACTTAGAGAACTCAGTTATGACCCTATGTGACAAACTCCTACTAGTTAATTGCATTTAAGGTTCCATAATCACAATTTTGCCACCCTCCAAATGATAAACTTAATGAGACTGATACATGGTAGGCTAAGAAATGAAGATAATCTTAGTGATTATATTAAGGTTTTTAAAATATCCCTCACTGTCCTCTTAAGAAAGAGCACATATGAGACAATTTTTATATGTGTTCTAGTTTTGCTTTATTATTATGCAAAACTATTTAAATTTGTGCTCTTTTATATTAGAATATTCAAAATTTGGCGGAAGTTAGAAAACTGAAATTTTTTTTTCTGGAGATAATTTATCCATGCAGGGGTTGGTGGACAATCAACTTCAATTTTTCCTTCTATATCAATCATAAGAAGGCCAGACAAGTTGGTCCATCAAGCACAGCATAAAGAGGAAACTCTTCTGCGAAAGGAAATCATGCTCCAGAGAGAAAAGGATCTGAGTATTAGATTTAGAGGGGGAAAGAGGGATATGTTTGTGGGCCAAAGCAGCTTCCTATCAAGAGAATAAAAACTGGTTTCCAAAGTCAGAATGCAAAACAATATTTTTAATCACAAATTTAAGTGTAAGTGAATTTAAACAGACAAGTAGGATGTTATCTGGAAAATAGAAAAATTTTAAGTCTTGTCAAGAGAGGGTTGTTGAGTGTCCTATCAGCATGTCTTATTGAGAATCTATTGGCCTGGGCTCACTTAGTGGACAGGAACTGGATCAATTTATTTTCCACATATCTTTCTTCTTTGTTATTTTGTATAAGTGACATCCAGGTATTGGGCTCTAAGTTATAAAATCTAATCATGGCTTGTTTAAATTAGAAGCTGTAATCAAGTCTGTGATTCAGAGGAAGAGATAGACATAATGTAGGAGATTCTCATACACCAAGACAATTCAACGAGGTTTTCATATTAAAGCTTCATTTAAAAAAGTTTTAAATAATCAAACTATTCAACAGAACTGCCAGTGAATAAGTATTTTAAATGATTAGTATCTCCCTCCTTTGTTTTTCCATTATCCATTTAATAAAGATTTGTGGTAGTAAATCTATCCCTTGATAATTCTAATCTATGAGTGTAACATCTTTTTTTTTTAATAACAGACTGTAAGCCATTTTGGTAGAGCCTTAGAGGAGGAGCAAGTCTTGGGAATTAGGAGAACAGTATACTGTTATAGAAATGTTTTTCATGAGAATGGGGCCACTAGAGACAACAATAAAGAATAAAGAAGATCACAGTTTCAATATTTTCCTAGATTTGAGACTATATCTTTAAGGGTGAGATTAAGGTATTATAGAAAATTCCTGGTCAGTGTAGGGAATACCAAAAAGATGTTCATCAAAGCATGAGAAAGAAAAGCTGAAGATTTATAATATAAGAGATTACAAATCTTTGTTACTTCTGACAGCCAGTAAGAGAAAGTCAGTATGCTACCCAGAATTGGAAGCACCATGGAGAAAAAAAAACAAGTGAGAATGAGTGAAGAAGAGAGAGAGAGAGAGAGAGAGAGAGAGAGAGAGAGAGAGAGAGAGAGAGAGAGAGAGAGAGAATTAGCTTATTTTACCTCAATGCTTCAACATTGACCATTGACATTAGAAGCTCAGATGCTGAGAAGGCCATGTCAATGGCAGAAGTCTATTAAGCAGAGTTCATGGCAGGTTAGGTCCTCAGTGATAAGGATCAAACCAATATCAGTAGTCCATGACATGCCTCATAAAGATCAACTCATTTTTCTGTAATGAGTTTCTATGTCCATAACTTGACAGAAAAACTGGAATAATAAATCAGATGATGTAAAAGATGAATTGGCTTAACTAGTTCTCTTGCAGAGAGTTCATTGCTAAGTGAGACTAACTCAGTTCATAAGACCATTGCTAGGTGGCTTTTCTCAAAGTAGATTTCTCTTAAATGACATAAATTACAAATGTATGTCAAATATAAAACCTAGGCATATGTAAAAGGTAAAGCATATGTAATTCTCAGAATTCATAAAAGTTTGAGAACTTTTTTTAAGTTGCCTGAAGTTGCATAAAGTTGGCAATAGTAAAGCAAATCCTGCCAAAGTATAGTTGTTTGGAAATCTCTGTATATCCATCTTCTTAGAGTGCAATTAAAGAAGAAGAAAATCACTTTTCAGAAAAGATAATGATATTGAGTACATGTGACACTGACTTAAGAACTGCTATAGAGAATTTTTTTTAAGTTGCTTCAGAAACAGAAGCATCACACAAGCAGGATAGCATCTGTTAAAGATAGTTGAGGTTGAGACAAAACATTCTGTATTCTCGGCTTTACTTGTTTTTTTCATATCTTTTGTTTTTTTTTTGTGATTGTTTGGGGGCACTCATAGATGTTCAGGGCCTACTTCTGGTACTATACATAGGGAATACTCATGTCAGGGCTTATGATAGATCGAACTGTAGTCTGTCACATGCAAGGCAAGCAACTTTACTCTGTACTGGCTTTCCAGCATGGCTCCTAACTTCATTTTAATTTTTTCGATTAGTTTTGTTTGTTTGTTTGTTTTGGTGAGAGACATACCTGGAAGTGCTTGGAGTCTACTTTTGTATCCTGCTCAGAGGTGGGTCCCATGGGGGTCAAGGGACCATGTGGTATTGAGAAACAAACCCAGGCCTCCTGCAAAAAAAAAGACAAATGCTTGAGGTGTTTCTCAAGTCCTTGGCTCTGACTTCTTAAAAAGGAACAGATAAAGGAGTTTCAAAAAAGGCAACTTAGTTTTTTTGTCAAGTACTTTGTTCTTGCACTTGATACTCCACTTGATCTTAGCCAAAAGGCCAAGAAGGGCAGAGTGATAGCACAGCAGCAGGGCATTTGACTTGCATGTGGCCGACCTGGGTTTGATTCCTTCGTCCCTCTCTGAGAGCCTGGCAAGCTACCAAGAGTATCCCGCCCCCCACGGCAGAGCCTGCCAAGCTCCCCGTGGTGTATTTGATATGCCAAAACCAGTAACAATAAGTCTAACAATGGAGACGTTACTGGTGCCAGCTTGAGCAAATCCATGAACAACAGGATGACTGTGCTACAGTTTGTTTTTGCAGCTATGTCACCTTTGATAGTCTTGAGGATTCAGCTGCATGAAACAAGAGCCCAGAGTAGCATGTGGCTATTGTGCTTAGGGCAGTTTTTCACAGAGGCACTGTTAACTCCCATCTTCCTGCTATGGGCCAACCAACCTTGATCTGGAACATAGAGTAATGGCAAATTATGTTCTTATTTCTCCATACCTTATAAAGGCAAGGTAAAAGGATAGTTTAATAAAGATATCCCATGAGTTCATTAGGAATATAAATACATATTGTTATTTGCATATAATGAAACAACTTAAAATGCTATAAGCTATAAAACTGTGTCATGTGTTATTAGATACTAAGAAAATTCTAGTTGGGGTGAATAATGCAAATTATTCACCATAACTTCTCTTTGTTATGCATTACAAGAGTTCTTTTATCCTTTTACTTATCTTTTGGTTTTTGGAACACACACAACAGTGCTTCAGAGACTACTTCCAACTAGGTGCTTGAGTGACCACATTGTTCTGGGGATCAAAACTAGACTTTTGTATGAATAACATGTACTCCTGTTCATTGAAAAATCTGCCTCACCCAGTTCCAGAGCTCTTTTGTGACTCCTCCCTTTTTCCTACTAATTCTGACCATTCCATCTTCCTTTGGTCATTCAGATATCGTTACTAACATACTAATTCACTAAAGAGATTCCTGGGAGGTTTTATACAATTGCTAGTTAAGAATTTCAAACGTTAAATGTTTTATTGTTAATTTCATTTCTAGATGTCCATCTACTTTTTTTTGTAGAATATCTGTTTATTTTGGTGTGTGTGTAGGGGGGCCTTGACGCAGTTGAAGGTCATATCCAGTAGTACTTGCAGTTTACTTGGGGCTTACTTTTTCAGATCTGAACTCAGGACTAATTTCTGACAATGCTCAGAGGACCACATGTGGTGCTGGAGAGCAAACCCAGGTCAGCAGTGTGTTAGAAAGGCAGTTTATCTGCTATGCTATTGCTCTGGCCCCAGATACTCGTCTACTTCTATTCCTCTCTCCAACCCAGTCTACTGCAACAAGACTTAATCCCTTCTTTATGAAAATAAGTCTAAAAGTCCCTTGACTAATGAAAAGAGAAGAGTAGGTAACCTGAATATATGAAAATATTTCCTTCATTATTTAGAAACTATACTGTCCTTGCATGATTAAATGTTATTATCTCAGAGAACTAGGACACTAAGAATCAGCGCATATTGCCTCCCTAGAGTTTTACTGTTTCATGCCCACAAGGAATAATGTTGTACAAACATCCTATTTCCATTATTTCTACCTATTGCCTCAGAATCTGAGGCCTTATCTAACTACAAAGCAGCCCACAAATCACACATAACTTAAAGACAAGGAGATAGGGTTTGTATGTAATTGGAATGTGTAAAGAACCTGCAATTTGTATCTGTCTCCTACAACTCTCCAAAAAGTTAATATTTGTTAAAAAGTTTAAAAAAATGTTAAAAGTTAAAAAAACAATCAATTTGACTTTATTTCAGCTTAATTAAGCACGTTAGCTAGTTAATTTATCTTGGGGTTAGCCTTGAGTTATTTCCCTCCGTTCAATTTGATAGCTATTGCACAAATTTTTTCTGAACTGCTTTTAAATGTGTTTAGAATAGATAGCAAAAACTTTCCAATATCTTCTGTGGTGAAAATCTATATTCATTAAGTGTGTCTTTGGGTTTGGAAAACATTCAAAAGTCATTTAGAGCAAACTCTGACTAAAATGTGGTTGAGTAAACGGAAACAAAATATTTTCCCCCCAATATTTACTCCTTTAGAAAATTTCAGGAGACAGAGGAAAGGAGTGGGCTCTGCTACAGTCTTTTTCCGTCACACAGAATCTCTCAGATGCTCCACTTTTTACATAAGAATTCGTACATAATAATTTTACATAATAATACATATGATGGAAGAAGATAAAATCTATATAAACAATGCATCATGCCTAAGTAACAAATCTACATAGCATTATTTAACAATTTTGTCACATAATTTTTTCTGAAATTTTCAGGACATTTTTATTTGTCAAATGTTGATTTAATTTTTTTCTTCTTTTTTTTTTTCTTAAATTTTGATTAGTGAAACACCATGAGGTACAGTTGTAGACTTACAATTTTTTGTGCTTGGGTTTCAGTTATACAATGATCGAATACCCATCCCTCCACCAGTGCTCATTCTCCACCACCACAAATCCCAGTATCACTCCAACCCCCTGTTCCCCCATCCCACCCTACTACTGTGGCAGGGCATTCCCTTTTGTTATGTCTCTCCCTTTGAGTGCTGTGGTTTGTAAAAGAGACATTGAGTGGCAATCTTGTTCAGACTATAGTCTACTCTCATTACGCATTTCCCATCCTGAGAGGAACATCCCAACACCCTTTATTTGGTGCTCCCTTCTCTATCTGAGCTGCCTTTTCCCCTAGTGTGTGCAGCTGGCCTCTAAGCCATGGAGTAAACCTCCTGGTATTTATCTCGGCTATTCTTGGGTGTTGTTCTCCCGTTTTGTTACTTTATGTTCCCCAGATGAATGCAATCTTTCTATGTCTATCCCTCTCTTTCTGATTTCGTTTCATTTAGCATGATACTGTCCATGTAGTACCACTTGTATGTAAGTTTCATGACTTCATTCTTTCTGACAGCTACATAGTATTCCATTGGATAAATGTACCAAAGTTTCTTTAACCAGTCATGTGTTCTTGGGCACTCAGGTTTTTTCCAGATTCTAGTTATTGTAAACAGTGCTGCAATGAACAGACAACTGCAGATGTCACTTCGACTCTACTTTTTTGCCTCTCTGGGGTATATTCCCAGGAGTGGAATTGCTGGGTCAAATGGGAGTTCAATTTGTAGTTTTTTGAGAATCTTCCATACTGTTTTCCAGAAGGGCTGAACCAGTCAGTATTCCCACCAGCAGTGAAGGACTGTCCCTTTCTCACCAAATCTGCACCAGCACCGGTTGCTTTTGTTCTTTTGGATGTGGGCCAGTCTCTGTGGTGTGAAATGATATCTCATTGTAGTTTTGATCTGAAGCTCCCTGATGCTTAATGATGTAAAGCGTTTTCTCATGTGTCTTTTAGGCATTCGAATTTCATCTTTGATGAAGTTTCTGTTCATTTTGTCGCCCAATTTTCTGATAGGGCTGGATGTTTTCTTCCTGTGGAGTTCAACCACTACTTTCTATATCCTTGATACCAGCCCCTTGTTGGATGTGTTTTTGTCGAAAATCCTTTCCCATTCCGTGGACTGTCTTTGTATTTTGGTCACGGTTTCTTTTGAGGTTCAGAAGCTCTTTAGTTTAAGGTAGTCCCATTTGTCTATCTCTGTTTTCACTTGCTTAGCCAGTGGCGTGACATCTTTGAAGACACCATTAGCTTCAATGTCATGGAGGGTTTTGTCGACTTTGTCGTCAATGTACAGTATGGATTCCGGTCTGATGTTGAGGTCTGTTAGGTAGAGATCTGAGCCCATTTTTTTGCATGTAGCTGTACAGTTTTTCCAGCACCATTTGTTAAAAAGGCTTTCCTTACTCCACTTCACATTTCTTACTCCTTTATCAAAGATTAGGTGATCATATGTTTGGTGGGGAGATGTCAGTATATTCAACTCTGTTCCATTGGTCTGCTGTTCTGCCTTTGTTCCAGTACCATGCTGTTTTAATTATCACTGCTTTGTAGTAGAGTTTGAAGTTAGGGAGGTTGATTCCTCCCATTTTCTTTTTCCCAAGAATTTCTCTAACTATGCATGGGGGCTTATTGTTCCATATGAATTTCAGGAGTGTTTGCTCCAGTTCTTTGAAGAATGTCATGGGTATCGTAATAGGAATTGCGTTGAATTTGTACAGTGCTTTGGAAAGTATTGCCATTTTGACAATGTTAATCCTACCGATCCATGAACAGGGTATATTTTTCCATTTCCTTGTGTCCTCTTTTATTTCCTGAAGCAGCGTTTTGTAGTTTTCTTTTTACAGGTCCTTTACTTCTTTAGTTAAGCTAATTGCTAGGTAGTTGAATTTCTGGGGCACAGTTGTGAATGGGATGGTTTTCTTCATGTCATTTTCTTCTTTCTCACTATTTGCATATAGGAAAGCCATGGACCTTTGGGTATTGATTTTATAGCCTGAAACTTCACTATACAAGTCTATCGTTTCTAGGAGTTTCTTGGTAGAGGTTTTAGTTTCTCTAAGTATGGTATCATATCATCTGTGAATAGTGAGAGCTTGATTTCTTCCTTTCCTACTTGGATGCCCTTAATACCTTTTTCTTGTCTAATCGCTATTGCAAGTACTTCCAGTACTATATTGAACAGGAGTGAAGAGAGTGGGCATCCTTGTCTGGTCCCTGATCTTAAGGGGAAGGCTCTTAGTTTTTCCCTATTGATGATGATGCTTGTGGTTGATAGCTTTAACTATATTGAGGAAAGTCCTCTCCATCCCCAATTTGATGAGGGTTTCCATCATAAATGGTGCTGGATCTTGTCAAATGCTTTCTCTGCATCTATTGATATAATCATATAATTTTTTATCTTTTCTTTTGTTGATATGATGGATTATGTTGATTGATTTCCGAATGTTAAACCATCCTTGCATCCCAGGAATGAATCCCACTTGGTCATGGTGTATGATCTTTTTGATGAATTGTTGAATTCTATTTGCTAGTATTTGTTGAGAATCTTCGCATCCGTGTTCATCAGGGAAATAGGCCTGTAGTTTTCTTTTTTTGTGGTGTCTTTCT